TCAAGACAAACTTTTCTAAAAGGTAGTACTGTGCTATTAAGCGCAAGTGGTCTTGGACAACAAATAGGTAAAGGTCTATAAAAGTAAAACACGTAGCCTAGCCTATAGGTCTAAATGTTCAACTTGATCTTTTGAGTCGAATCCTCCATCTTTCTACACCTTTCGACCAGACTAGAACAACACAACATTCGTTTTCACCAGCTGTGTGTCCTTCGAATAAGCCATCTGTGTGTTCTTCGAATGTCCCTTTTCAGAAGGTTATTAACTTCTGAATCGAAGGAAGTTTCCAGAAGATTATTGACTTTTGAATTGAAGAAAACCAAAAGGAGGCCTTTACTTCCTGAGTCGAAGGACATTCCTGAGTCGAAGGACGCCGTTTCAAAGGGGGACAAAAACTCAGTTGAAGCTTGCATGAAGATCATTTCCTTCTGAATCGAAGGAGACCTACTTGAAGTCACATTGCCCAGACAAAAGAGGCACGCTAGCAGCAACTTTTGAGCAATCGAAAGAGGTGCAAAGTCCAGTCGAAGAGGGCTGAATCGAAGGAGATCTATTTTCCTCCAAATTTGTCAAAATGTTATTTTTGTCTGTTTTCTCCCTTTTCGACAATTTCTTCTTAATTCTGGTGCTATAAGATCCCAATGTATTTTGCAAGCTTGAATTTTTTAGAATCATTGTGAGAGATGCTTTGAGAATTGAGAGGGCAAATTTTGGGGTGCAACAATATTATTTCGATTCGATTCATTCACCTTAAACACACAGCATGTGTCGACACATACGAATATCAGGTCGACACATGCTATTTCAAGTGGTCAATTTTTAATTTCTTTTTATTTTGAAAGTGTCCTTCTTGCCCTATTATTTCCACAACTATAAATACCCATTCATGCATATTTCATACCTTGATGATACCATAAAATTATCCTATACTCTCTCTTCTTCCTCAACCTTCCAATTTATGTGTGTGCACCAACATTACATTATTATGATGTTTCGTCGGGATATGATTTAGACGAAGATTTGTCGATTTCCATTGAATTGGGTTGAGATTTTGTAGGGGTCTTCATCCAGGAAAAACCTAGGGTTTCTCCTCCAAGAATCATTTTTTGATTTGGGGGTTTTACAAGATCGTTCAAAAGTTCATCCATGCGAAGGATCCCTTGGGGTGTTTGAAATCCTTTCAAGGTAGTAGCAAGAATTGGTTGCTAGAATTGGTGATCTTATGGTGATAGCATTGCAATCGGATTTACTTGAGAAAAAGATCTCTTGGGTGGTTGAAATCATTTCAAGAACTTTGGGGTGTTTAAAATCCTTTCAAGAAAGTAGCTTAAGCGGCGAATAGGTTGCAACTATCGAAGAATTTGAACTTGTTTAAGATCAAAGGTTGAAGAGGAAGCATCAACATCAAATTTAAGATTATTTGTATTGTTGTTTCTAAATCTTCTCTTATTATTTTGCTTATTAAAATTATCCTAAGATTCCATTGGAATTTTAGGCGCAGACGTGCCCACACGCGAGGACGATATTGGGGAACTGTGTAGAAAAATTCCCCATGTGCTTTTACTTTTCCGCTTTTTACTCGCTTTCAATTATTCAATAACTCATCAAATAGTATTGTGATAGTAATTGAGTTGTAAGAATTTTTCTCTCTAAAGCTGTTTTGGAATAGGTGTAGATATAGCTTATAATCAATTTTGATTATAAGTGGTTTTACAATAGCAACACAATAATGAGCAACAACTCTTGTATTCTAATGAATAGTAATATCAACACAATATGAGCAATAACTCTTGTGTTCTAGAAAATAATAATATTAACATAGTAACGAGCAACAACTCTTGTGTTATGATCTTTTCTTTTTCTTTGCTTTGATTTTGGCAGCGTTACTGTTCTTGTTTTATAGTCTTACAATTTTCAAATGAAACAGATGATCCTTTATATAGGCATTGAGGAAGTAGACCGTTGTGGTAGTACACACATCACTTTTATCTTGCCAGCTGCCATAATGGTAGGAATTGATCATGGGATACAAATAGTATACAATCCATCCATTTGAGTGGAACGTGTAATTGTACCATTGTACTAACCATTCTTATGCGGGTTTCTGATGATATTATTTTCTGATGAATATGACTTATGATGAAGTAGATTGGCTTGAGAAGATATTATCATTATCTTGTCTTCTAATGGACTATATGATGTATAGAAGTGATGAGTCAAGAAGATCTAACTTTCCTTTGTCTTTTTATGGAATAATTTTGATGTAAAGTTATGTGCGCATATTCCACGAAGTTCCCGAGTCTTCAGAATCTTGACTCTGTCTTCATAATTAGAAGCAACAGCTTTTCTGATAAACAAATCTTGACTTCTGAATTTGAGGCAGAAGCTTTCCTTTAATGTGTTCAGAACCTTGACTTTGTCTTCAGAGTTACGAGCAACAACTCCTCTGATGAACAAATCTTGACTTCTGGTCTTTGAAGTGAAAGTTTGTTTATGTGCTATCTTGTTTTTCTGATCTTGGAGCAGCAGCTCTAACATAATTTTTTTCTTCTTGAATACTTGTGACTTCTGAAACAACAGCTTATTTGAAAAGTCCACAGTTGCACCCCAAAATTTACCCTCTTGATTTTAGAACTTTAAAGGTTTATGTTTCATCATATGCATTCATACATTGTGATAAGATCAAGGTATTTTGGTTCCCAAGTTCCTCTACAAGCTATGAAAGATGGTTGTGTTGACAATTAATGCAAGAAGGGTCTCATGTCCTCAATCTTTAAGTAACTCAAGCTACAAGGGTTTCTCATACCTCAAGTCATCTCAATTGTCTCTTTGATTCATAAGAAGTTTGAAATTTGCAAGTGTTGATTCTTGAATCATTATTTTCCTATGCATTTTTTGAGATTAGGGTTTTGACCAGATGAAGTGTTTGATACTTATGTGGGCCAAATTTATGAATCAAGATCCTCTCATTTGTCATATGAGACATCTTTGTTCAAATAATTTCTCAAAATGTTAAGAGGAATCAGGGTTTTGAGATTGGATCACCATCTCCTAGCATAGAAGGCCGAAACTATGGTTTTGGATTTAATCAGGGAACTTCTGACTTTTTGAGCAAGTATTGATTCCATGCTTTTCTACATGTTTATGAGTACTTATGATTGAAGGATTGAATGTCAATTTTTATTGGAAGTGGTTCAACTGATCAATTGAGGATTTTTGGTTAACATGCAATTCAACATCCATATTTTTATTTTACATGGTCATTGATGAAAGAAAATCAAGAGAATTGTTGAATTTGAAGATGACTTGTTCAAGAAGTTATTTGAATATTTGAACTTTTAAATGATCATAGTACTAAACTTGGAAAATTCATAACTTCTTCATTTTTTATTGAAAAAATTAAATATTTACATGGTTGGAAAGAGGATAAAAAGTTCTTCAACTTTGTCATTGAGGGCTCAAGTCTAAATAGTGAAAGGAGAAGAATTTATTTAGCTTGGAACAATCTTAACACTTAGTGAATTTTCAAAATATGTGCATAAGGCATGGTTTCTTCATGATCATTTTTGAGGTGTCAAATGGATTCAATTCAAAAAGTTGTCAATATCAAAGTTAAAGTTTGAAGTCTGCTTTACAATTTTGGTTCAAAAATCATTTCATTTAGTTCAGTGTAGGAGAAGATATAATGTTTTGGATTTGAGGGCTTGAGAAGGCAAGATTGCTAGCAAGTATGTGTGACAGGCCTGACATTTCATCAAACAATTTGTGGGCACACGTTCATCATCATTTTTTATTTGAAATATTCATTATTTTAAAAAGTGTCCAACATCAAAGATCAAGGTCCATGTGTGATGTTCAACTTTGCTTCAAGAATTTTCTCAAAAGAGTCCTCACATTTCAAGATATGATCATAGGAAGTGGGTGATATGAAACTGAATTTCTGCCCAGCACTCAAGGCATGTCGCGAGCGCACCAGGCTTGGCATTTTATTAAATATCTTCAAGGTATAGGTTCATGATGGATTTTCTCTATGATTAAAGCATCATTTGGATCTATGATGAACATCAAAGTTGTTGTTCTCACTCCTAACTTTCCAACAATTCACTTAGGTGTTTAAGTTGTAAAAAATGACAAGTTACTTGGAAATATTTTTTACATGCCCATGATCAGTTGCAAGAAGTCATTTTTGAGTTTGATTTCAAGAAGCTTTTAGACTTCAAATATTTTTTCTTCAACATGAAATTTCTTCATCACCTTCCTCTCTTTCCAAAGAGCTCATTTGCATTTTATTTCATCAAGAACTGTTGAACTTATAATGAGAGGAATAACGCTTATGATTGAACTTGCTTGCATTTGAAACTGTTGTGGTTACCGTATCGTCACTCCATACGCATCACGCCCTATTTCTTTGCCCAGAATAGCCAAACATGCATGAGGAATGCATGCACTCTATTTTGAAAATATTACCAAAGTTGGCAAAAATTTGAAAACAAAAGCTGGAAGCATCCTCTCTCTCTCTCTCACGTTCCTTCCACTCCTCTTTTACTCTATTTCCTTGTTCAAAACGACAACAAAAACTTAAACACATGAGTGCAAAATGCAGCATGCCTCACACTTACCTCACACGCTATTTTTGTCAACTTTCCATTTCTATCCTCAAAATTAAACTTCATCTCCACTATTTCTCACTCTTTATAAACACACACCACTCTCTAATTCACACACACACTTGATGCACGCTGGGAACAAATCAAGAGAGAGAATATAGATATGAGAATCTGTTTCTCATTGAAAGGAAGATAGCTCTGAATTTCGTTTTTCCTCTAAAGCAAGATCACTTCCTGCATTTGCTGTCTCATTCTTTAAGTATAGAGATCAAGTTTTTCAGGTTTCTTTCCATCATCAAGCTTAGGAACTTATGGATTTATTTTCCACTTGATGTAAGATTTCTAAAATTTCAATCGTCATGTTCTTGAATGTTTGATACTTGCAAGCTTTGCTTAATCATGTTTTAACTGGCCACACAGTATGTGTGATGTATATGGATGCATAATTTCTAAGTTTGTTTTGATTTTTGAAGTTCTGAAAAAGTGTTGAACTGTAATTTTTGTGCTAAGTTTCTTTCGTGATCCACGCATGGATTTTAAAAATTCTTGATGCCATTGTGTTCCTTGAAGTTTGATGTTTATATCGTTTGATTTCATGAAATGAGAGAGTTATGAAGCTCTGAAACTAGCTTGATGAACTTGCATTTTATTGTTATGGTTTGGTTTGTGTGGTAGGGACGATTACATGTGTAACACCCCAGATCTACCCCAAGCAATTATATAAAATAAATCAGAGTTATAAAATTCAATCATGCAAATGAACCAGGGCGTCACAAATTCTTCTATAAAACTCATTGCATTCATCGTGGATATATAACACTTTCAAAACATCGGATGAATCATCATAACATCTTTAATTAAATAACTCAACATCTACGCAGTGGAATTCTCAATAACAATTTTATCATCAATACAACAACTTCAAAAAACCATAATTTAATAATAATCAACAATCAAAACAGCAAGCGTTCATCCCCCCGAGTGTTACATATCAGAGCAATGACACCGACTCGAACTACTGAAGGTATACAACCTTCACTCTCGATTACCTGCACGTTACCAACATGAGGGCAACATTCAAACAGAAGGGATGAGATATCTAACAATATAATAAAGCGCATGATAATTAATATATTAAATTAGATCCCATAACATCACCACTTCTCATATCATAATCAACAATAATAATACATTCACAGCATCATCACACACTTCTTTATGCAGTCATATAATGTGACTCAATACTATGAAAATACACGTGGTACCATTGGAGCAAAACTCCCATCTCAAAATTTTTCCAATTAATAGAGGCATCAACAAGGCATAAGCCTTCATCTCAATATTGGCCAATACAAGCCATCTCAACGAGCATAAGCTCCATCTCAAAAATGCAATGTATGCGACACAACTATGAATGTAATAACAACACCCAAGTTAACAACATCTCAAATTAACAACATCTCAAAAGCATCTCAAATTAACAACATCTCAAAAGCATCTCAACGTCTTTTCATCAACATCTCATATCATCATAATAATTCATCAAACATCATTTATTTATTATAAATCATCAACACAACATCATTAATAACTTCTCACTAACAACTCAGTTGTACATTAATACCACAGTAGTTCATACTACTATCCTATAATCCTTACATCATTACTGTCACTAATCCTACTGTTATAATTCAAACAGCATCTTATAAGCATCTAATTTGCATCATTCTGTTCAAAACCAACGCATCGATCAACACGGGAATTAACTCTAAATCCTAAATTGGCTACTAGGATTACACTTTCTATTATTAATTTTAATCCTCTAGAATAAATTCCATCGTGTTAGCTATTCAATGCTTCGAATGAAACCGCAAACAGCATTCTAAAACTCAAGTTACAACACTTTAAAACTGAATCTTCCAAAAATCAGGCATTATGGATCAATGCGTACTGCTCTAAGTGCACAACATGAGTCGACGCATTCTCTCATGGATCGACTTATCCAGAGTCTTGCACACAACATGTATCGACACATGCATCCCACAGATCAACTCATCCTGAGTCTTTCAACCTTGATGTATTGAAGCAAGCCTCTTCATGTCGATTCATACTGAGTCTCTAGGCCCTCATGTATCGATGCATCAAGTTTGAGGTCGACACATCCTGATTCTTCCTGCATAATTTTGTGATTTTCTCTGCATTTCACTACGGGGTTCATGTTTTTAACCCTACAAACTTAATATAATCACGATAAATCATCACCTACAATTATCCTATGATTCTATATCGATCAAACAACATCGGGACATCATTATTCATCTAAAATTCATCAAATTTTCATCATACATCATCATATACATCCAATTCGATAACAAAACAACAATCACCTCTAACCTCACATATCAATCATCATGAACCCAATTATAAAGTCAGAACCCCACCCTTACCTTGGATTGAAGGTCGCTCTATAATTTCTGGCTGAATTCTTGTTCTGTCGTTTTTCCACTTTTCCAGCAGCTTCACGTTCTCCTTCTCAATCCTTACTCTTCTACTGCTTCTTATTTCCATTCCTTCTAAAAACAATAAAATAACCTATTATTCTTTATTCCTTATTGGGATCTAAACTAATACACCCCCCTTATTACTTTTATTCCTTCAAAATAAGCCCACACCAAATAATATTATAATTCTAATATTATTTCTTCACTTAATAAATAAATCCAATTAATCATAACACATCTTCACAATTATTCCAAAAATAATTTAATTAAATAATTAATTAAATTACGGGTGTTACAACTCTCCCCCACTTAGAATATTTTCGTCCTCGAAAATTTACCTTAAACAAACAACTCAGGGTAGGAGTCTCGCATCTTGCTCCCCAACTCCCAAGTCATGCTCTCTCCGGCAGCTCCTAGGCAAAACACTTTAACCAAGGCAATCTCTTTTCCCCTTAGAGTCTTTATTTCACGATCCTCGATCCGTACAGGCATCGTCTCCATCGTAAGATTATCCCATACTTGCACATTGTCCATATGAATCACATGAGATAGATCTGAAATATACTTCCGAAGTTGCGACACGTGAAACACATCATGTAAATTTGAAAGATTAGGCGGTAAAGCCACTCTATAGGCAACATTCCCCACTCTCTCCGAAATCTGATACGGTCCAATAAAACGAGAAATGAGCTTCTTAGACTTCAATGCTCGTCCAACACCAGTCACAGGTGTAACTCTCAAAAACACATGATCACCAGTTTGGAATTCTAAATCTTTCCTTCGCTTGTCATGATAACTCTTCTATCTACTTTGCGAAGCTTTCATCTTTTCTCGAATCAACTTCACCTTCTCAGTAGTCTCACGAACAAGTTCAGGTCCAAGTACTACACTCTCACCAGATTCATGCCAACATAAAGGAGTCCTACATCTTCGACCATACAACACTTCAAAAGGTGCCATCCCAATACTAGAATGGTAACTGTTATTATAAGTGAACTCTATCAATGGAAGATAAGTATCCCACGAACCTCCCTGCTCGAGAACACATTCCCTCAACAAGTCCTCCAACAATTGAATCATCCATTCAGTCTGACCATCTGTATGAGGATGATACGCTGAACTCAACCTCAACTTAGAACCCAACGCTTCTTGCAAACTCTTCCAAAAATAAGTAGTAAATCTTGGATCTCTATCTGACACAATGCACAAAGGAACACCATGCAACTTCACAATCACACTAGTGTAAATCTCAGCTAAATTTGACACTGGAAAACTGATGTTAATAGGAATAAAATGAGTTGACTTCGTAAGCCTATCAACAATCACCCAAATCGAATCATGTCCTCTTAAAGTATTAGGCAACCCCGTCACAAAGTCCATTGAAGTGATATCCCATTTCCATTCTGGAACTTCCAACGGTTGCATCAACCCTGCAGGCTTCTGATGTTCAACTTTCGACTTCTGACAAGTTAAACATGCATACACAAAACGAGCCACATCACTCTTCATCCCAGGACACCAAAACAAGCCTTTCAAATCTTGATACATCTTTGTATCTCCTGGATGAATACTCAACTTACTTCTATGACTCTCTTCAAGTATCACTTTCTTCATCTCAGCATCATCAGGAATACAAATCCGATTAAGAAATCTCAACACACCTTGCGCATCTAGCTTAAAATCACTATTCTCAGACTGATCAATCCCAACCATCAAATCTACCAGTTTCACATCCAACTTCTGAGCTTCTCTGATATTGTCTAAAAATTCATTATTAATCTTCAAAATACCCAACATAACACTCTGAAGTGTAACCTCGCAAACTAAGCTCATATCTCTGAACTGCTTAATCAATTCCAACTCTTTAACCATCATTGCTGACATATGTAAAGTCTTTCAACTCAATGCATCAGCTACCACGTTCGCTCTTCCTGGATGATAATTCAAACCAAAATCATAATCCTTTAACAATTACAACCATCTTCGTTGCCTCATATTCAACTACTTCTGATCAAATAAATACTTTAAGCTCTTATGGTCACTAAACACTTCAAATCTAGAACCATAAAGATAATGCCTCCAAATATTCAACACAAAGACAACAACAGCAAGCTCTAAATCATGCGTATGATAGTTCTTCTCATGAGTCCTCAATTGCCTTGACGCATAAGCAACTATCTTACCATTCTGCATAAGCACACCTCCTAAACCCATCTTAGAAGCATCAGAATACACCACAAAAGGCTCTCCTGGATTAGGCAACGTCAAAATCGGAGCCGACGTCAACCTCTTCTTCAATTTCGTAAAACTTTCTTGGCACTGAACATCCCACACAAAAGCTCTACCTTTACAAGTCAACTTAGTCAACAGAAGTGACAACTTAGAAAATCCTTCGATAAAGCTTATATAATAACCAGCTAATCCCAAGAAGCTTCTAATCTCAGTAGCTGACTTTAGAGTTTCCCATTGCAACACAACATCAACCTTCGATGGATCTATAGCAATGCCACTACCTGAAATCACATAACCAAGAAAACTAACCTCTTTCAGCCATAATCCACACTTGGACAGCTTTGCATACAACTCCTTCTCTTTCAAAACTTGCAATACTACTCTTAAATGTTCAGCATGATCTTCCTCTAACTTAGAGTAAATCAAAATATCATCAATGAACACCACTACAAATCGATCCAAATAAGTATGAAAGATACGATTCATATATTCCATGAATACTCCTGGCGCATTAGTAACATCGAAAGGCATCACCGAATACTCGTAATGTCCATAACGCATTCTGAAGGTCGTCTTCTGAATATCTTCATCCTTCACTTTAATCTGATGGTAACCCGACCTCAAATAAATCTTACTAAACACACGAGCATCCACCAATTGGTCCATCAAGTCATCTATTCTTGGAAGCGGATACTTGTTCTTAATCTTCACCTTATTCAATTGTCTGTAATCAACACAAAGCCTCATACTTCCATCTTTCTTCTTCACTAACAACACTGGAGCACCCCACGGCGATACACTTGGTCTTACAAACTTCTTCTCAAGTAACTCTTCCAATTGCTTCTTTAACTCTGACAATTCAGA